GGCTGCTGTCTGTTTTACATGGCCCAGAAGCTAGCAATGGATTGAAAAAAATAAAAAGAACTGCATTTTGTAACATATGCAATTTATATGATATTGAAATTTCAGTGTCCATAAGTTAAGCTCATTGGAACACAGCTTCTGCACTGCAAGGGGAGTTGAGTAGTCAGGACAAAGACTGCATGATGTACAAAACTAAAATGTTTACTATGTGACCCTTTACAGAGAAACTTTTCTGATCTTTTCCATAAACAAGAATTGGTATGAAAATCTCTTGGAAGATCGAAAAACTAGAACTCTAAAGCTTCTAGAAAAGTGGGTGGGGGTCACCACAACATGAGGAACTGTATTAAAGGGTCGCGGCATTAGGAAGGTTGAAAACCACTGGAAGATTTCTTAAAGAGGATAAAGAATGTTCGAAACTCAAAACAGTAAATCATTATCAAAACCTTTAAAAAGTTCATCAAACTACATTATTAATATTAAGAAAAAATATAGGTATACCTAAGAAACAGTTGGAACCATGATATAAGGAATCCCTCCACATCAATCATATAAAAGATAATTCAGCAAAAATAAAAAGTCAAAGAGTTGACCAGGGTCTTAAAAAAAGAGAGAAAATATATCAGTAGGCAGTTTCCTCTTCATGAGGCTAATGGGTTTATTTCTCCAGTTTAGAAGCTGTTTTTGCTGCTAGAACTCCAATGTCAGCCCCTGCCAGGATCTGCCTTTGGTTAGAGAGGCTTTGCCCAGGTAACATCCCATACCCAGGGTAGCAGAAGCCATTTAGTGACTGGCTGACGCCCCCCTATACCACTAATTGACGAGATTTAGAATTGTCATTTCTCTGCTTCATGCCTCCTCTCTACTGTATACAAAAGTTGACTCTCAGGCAGGTAAACCTCAAGTTAACAATCAGGCGTGCTGTGTTCTGGCAGACACTGGCGCCTCAATCCTAAACTCACAGCCTCTGGGACACTGTCAATGGCGCTACATCCTCGTGATTACATAATCGGCCACTTGAGGGCACTGTGGGTCCACCGAGCGGGCCCTGCTGGCGCAGTCTGGAATAGGGAGGGTTAAAGGAGATGGTCTTGGCTTGCACCCTGCATTAGAAATATTACTTGAGGACCTCGGGGCAGTGCTGGCACAGGAGGGGTTAATCACAGTCTTCTCACACAGACTGACCTGTGTGTTTATCTCAGCTGGGAGCTGAGAACTGCAGCCCTCCTTGGGCAGAGGCCTCTCTAGGAACCTATGTTTATTTGATGGGGAACATGGTGGGTTTCAGCAGGGCAGCTAGATAACCCAAGCCTTGTATAGAGGAAGGAGCACCTGCCTCAGAGGAAAGTTGGAGAAGCCCAGGCATGGCCATCTGCCCCCAACCCTGCCCTACCTCACTCAGCACAGACAGCAGCGCTAACATGAGAGTGGCTGGCTGGACCGAACAGGGGAAGGTTGGGCCAGTGGAGCTGGTGCAAGAGGTACAGGAAGCCTACAGGGCTGGTGACATCAGAACAGTGACATCACAGGCAATCCTCCAAAGAGAGAAAAGGGAGAAACGAGACTCCTGCTTTCTTACCCAAGGAGATCAGCACCCTGAGTGGGGAGAGGCCTGGTCCTCCCCTGTCTGATTCTGCTGGGGGGACTCGACTTCTCTGCTGTGTCACCCTTTGTCTCCTGGGAGCAGGTGAGTCCTGAGCACAGGTGGGACACCCTTTGAAGTCACAGTTGCTGGGATATCAAACACTTTCCTGTGCCACGTCTTCAACTTTGGTCTCCTTCCTCCACAGTTCTAGTGGATGCTGGAGTCATCCAGTCCCCAAGACACCTCATCAAAGGAAAGCAGGAAGCAGCCACTCTGAAATGCTATCCCTTCCCTGGCCATGACACTGTGTACTGGTACCAACAGGTTCCAGATCAAGGTCTTCAGTTCCTCATTTCATTTTATGAAAAAATGCAGAGAGATCAAGGAAACATCCCTCACCGATTCTCTGCTCAGCAGTTCACTGACTACCACTCTGAGATGAACTTGAGCTCCTTAGAAGTGGGGGACTCAGCTCTGTATCTCTGTGCCAGCAGCGTGGGCACAGCCCTGCATAGCTACTGGATTTCTGTACCCAAACCTTCCAGTCCCAGCTGAAGACGCATGGGGAGAGGGAGGTGGAGACTGTCATACAGCTTTGCAGAGGCCCAGAGATGCTTCTAGTTCTTTCCTAACATTGTCTCTGCCCTATGAGCTCAGCCAGAGCTCTCCTAAACATGCAAGCCCCAGGTCCGTTGGTTGTCCTCCCATCTCTGCCAGTTGTTTCCAATTCTAGTAAAATTGGCGGGAGCTCCTACCCAGGGATAGAGTGTGGGCAAATGTCTTAGTCAATTTTCTGTTAAAATAACTAAATACCTGAAACTGAGTAATTTATAAAGAAAAGAAGTGTACTTCTTACAGTTTAGGAGACTGGGAAGTTCAAGGTCAAGGGCCCACATTAGCGAGGGCCTTCTTGCTGAGTACCAGCCAATGCAGGGTATCACATGGTAAGGTGGCTCATAGGAAATGACCAAACTGGCTTTTATAACAGACCCAATGTCATGATACTAACCCATCAATCCATGGATAGCTTAATCTACTTATAAGAGTAGAGTTTTCATAACCCAATCACCTCCCAAGAATCTCACCTCTCAACATGCTGCCTTGGGGACCAAGTTTCCAACATATAAATTTTGGGAGATACATTCAAACAGTATCAGTATATATTAAGTGTGTTTATACAAGCATAGACATTAGTATACCTACTTTATAGATGAAGATCTCAGTGTATCGATTCATAGATAGGAAATTGTAACTCACGGACTTCCCCAATACTTCATATTTACAAGTGTCAGAGCCAGGATGCAAACCCACAAACCTTCAAAATTAAGCTTCTCCTAAAATTCCACAGTGTTCCCTAGGCCTTAGTCAACAAGACATGGCAGATCACTCACTGTGTCTTCCATCTCAAGGCCAGTGGGCGACAGTGGGAGGTTGCACATTATTGGATATGGTTACTCTGGTCTATTGCCTGCCACCTCCTAGGTCATAAGACTCCAAGCCACAGATGTTCTTCCTGTCTTGGTTTTATATAGAATGGCTCATGACATCTTCCCGTACAAGAGAAGATGCAGCCATGGAAACAGAAACCCTAAAGGACATTCAAGGAGAATAGGAGATAATACAGGGAATTAGGCTTATAAACCACTGGAAGGTCTTGGGGGAGCCTCAGAAGACTGAAGCTTGCTGTCATATCTCAACATGCTGCCTTAGGAAAAAAGTTTCTAACACGTAAATTTGGGGGGTACATGTGTGTTCAGACAATAGCAGTGTATATTAAGTGTTTTGATGCAAAAGGAGACATTAGCTTATCTACTTTATAGATGAAGAAGAACTCACGGCTAGAAACCAGAAAATATGAAGATGCTATTTTTTCCCAGAGAAGAACTGCAGAAAATAGGCAACAGTCACAGTGGCCCTACAGTGACTAAGTGGGTGACTCACAAGAATGCATTCAGAGGTCATTGCAAATCCACCTGGGACTCGATGTATGCCACATCGCCTTTCGACCTGTGCCGTAAGTTACTTTGCCCCGTGCATTTTGAACAAGGAAGACATCTTCTAAATTTGAGTGTCGATCTTAATGTCCCTTTCAGAAGTAGTGGCTCTGACACAGTCCATTTGCATAACATCTTTCACCCAGGAAGCTACATGTCCCAAAGGAGAGTGCTCCAAGACCAGAGACAAGGAGATCTCTGTGCTTCACATTCTGACTCCTTGGGTTGGTGACTTAAAGACTGTTTGGCTGACTTTTCTCAAACAGAGGCTAGTAATATGCGTCTTACAGAAATTTTATACAGGTAAATAAAACAGAGTTTAATACAAACTATAGATTCAAGAACTCTTAGGCCCTTGTGAATTCTGACAGATGTCTAGTCTAGCACAAGTTATTTGCTTTGTGAAATTCTGGAATAAACAGCAGGCATGGATTATATTAGCCTTTTTCACGTATGTTTTAGACTCAAGTGATCCAGTTCCAATGGCCTCATCTAAAATGAAGAGGGAAATCATAGACAGTAGTCAGGGTTTTCAAGAGACAGAATCAGTAGAACACACAAAAAAAGACATGTGAGAGGGCGGCCCCTGTAGCTCAAAGGAGTAGGGTGCCGGCCCCATATGCTGGAGGTGGTGGGTTCAAACCATCCCAATGCCCATGACAAAGTACAGAGGCCTGAGCTCTGCCATGAGGCTACTATCAGGTGAATTTATGACACAGCATAAAAAATATTCAAATTGTGTTTACCTTGACCTTGAGACTTAAAAACCTGTCTAGGTGTCATGGGGCTCTTTTAACACAGGGTATCTCTGTAAGCTGACATATGCTTTCTAAAGTTTAAGCAGAGAGAAAAACTAGCAAAGGTACTCAGAGGTGAATTTTGAGCACAGAAGTCATAAAAGGCCATAGGGATGTACCTTAGACCACAGAAGTATTAAGCAAAATTAAAACAGCATACAAATAAGAAACTGTATCCTAGTGGGAATGAAGTATACAGCAAAGAGCATATGTACTTACAGGATTTTTTAAAAACCAATCTATAAAGTCTTTTAATTCTTAACTGCCAAATGTGTCTGTGTATATATATATTATATATATACATACATACATATATAAATATCTATAATTTATTTGTTAAAAAAACAAATAAACTACATATATAATTGGCTGGGGTAGGTTTGAACCTGGCCCCAGTCAAACTGCAACAATAACAACAACAACATCAACAACAAAAAATAGCTGGGCATTGTGGCAGGCGCCTGCAGTCCCAGCTACTTGGGAGGCTGAGACAAGAGAATCGCACAAGCCCAAGAGCTGGAAGGGAAGGGGCGTGGCAGGTCAGCTCTGCAGCTCAAGCATGTGTCAGGGACAGTGACATCACTGAGTCACCAAGAGCCTAAGCTGTATTTCCCCAATGCAGGGATGGAAGACACAAGATTCTGCCCTAGACTTGAAATGGGTCCCTGGCTCTTCTATGTGGCCCTGTGTCTCCTGGCAGCAGGTGAGAGCTGGTCACAGGTGGCCTTCCTTCCCTGGAATTCCCAAACCTTCTGCATAAGCCTTTCTCTTAGGATGGCAGCATCAATCTGTTTCTCTCCATTACAGGACACACGGATGCTGGAATCACCCAGAACCCAAGATACAAGGTTGCAGAGACAGGAAAGCAAGTGACACTGGAATGTCATCAGACTAATAAGCATGACTATATGTACTGGTACCGACAGGACCTGGGACATGGGCTGAAGCTGATCCATTACTCAGTTGGTGCTACTATCACTGATAAAGGGGAAGTCCCCGATGGCTACAGTGTCTCCAGACCAAGCATAGAGAATTTCAACCTCTCTCTAGCGTCTGCCACCCACTCCCAGACATCTGTGTACTTCTGTGCCAGCAGTGATCCACAGTGCTGCACGGCCGCCTCCTCTCTGCACAGAAAGGGCAATTAGGAAGTTTTAGGTCACTTGTGTCTAACCCACCCATGGAAGTCCTGCCCTCCAAAAGGATTGCAGAGCCTTTGCCAGGCTGGGGGCCTCAGGGGAATGGTTAACATGATCCTTAGGGTGGAGGTCCATCTCTGCACCAGGCTCAGCCTGACAGGAGGTCCTCCCAACTGCCTGAGTTCTCTGGGTCTCCTGCTGTTCTTTCTGCTTACAGAAAGAAAAGTGCATCTTTGGTTGAGCTTCATGGTTATTCCCCTGGTAATCTCAAAGCCACCCTATTCTCTCCTCTTTGGGCTCCAGTGACTTTCTTACTTGCCTTTTCTCTGCCCTCTACCCTAACTCTCGACATAATTCTTCATTCATGGTCTCTGCTCCTGGCTGCCTTTCTCCTAAGGGTTCCTGTTGTAGCTGGCACCTGTCAGCTGCCTCTCCACCAGCCTGCAGCAGGTTGCTGGCTCTGCCCATTCCAGCCACATTCCCCTGTGTTACTGCCACTTCCTCACATGTGCTCTGCTATTTTTTTCACAGGTTGATTCTTCAGCCCTGAGCATATCTTCCTCCTTCTTATTCCCAGGTCTCTAGCTCATCCCTTCCATGGAAACATAATTCAGGTAAATTTATTCTTAACTGGGAAAGGTAAGACTTCATTTTTACTAGAAAAATATCAGGGAAAATATTTTTAGCACTTGAGGCAATTATTTTTCAAGTGGTGACACAAAAGAACACAAGTCATAAAGAATACTTATTTCAGTCCTTAAATTAAACTGTTGTGCATCAAAACACAACACGAAAAGACGAGCCACAGCCTGGAAGAAAGCGTGCACGGTGCATGCGCATGAGGAGGAGTCAGCGTGACGCAGACAGTTCCTGCTCTCCAACACCCAACATTCCTCTACGGTTCCTGGTCTTTCCTGCAACTAGAGGCTTGGAAACATATATGGAGGTCCTGGATGATGGAATGTGGGCAAAAGCTATGTAAATGAATTCGAAGCCTGGCCCTTAAATATACCCGGTGGCATAGTAATGAGAATCCCCAAGCATATACTCACATTTGGAAATTATCTGCAAAATACCACGAGATCCAGGATATGGATCCTGGCTAAGGTTTATTAAAGCATTATAGTAAGTAATCAGCAGCACATCACATGAGGAAAACACACAGGTGGAATCTGGAGGAATCCACACGCAGTTGTCCTTACGCTCTTTCTTCCAGGAGGGGTCGCTCAGAGCTCACTCTTCCTGCAGCTGCAAAAGTGTATTTTCACGTGTACAATATTTAAGCCAAGGGAACCCATTAGAGATTCAGTACACAAGAAGATCTATTAAGGATGGTCATGTAGGCACTCACTACCCAGCAAGTACCAAAAATTCCGATCCTAGAAGAAAACCTGTGTTCAGCATAATATTATTTTCAACACCAGTCTAGGCACAACGAGCCACTCCTCTCAGTTAGGAAAATCTTTCTGTCAGTGCGGAACACTGTTCACCAGCCAACTTACCAGGTACCAGCCAAAGTCCAATCTTATAAGCAGGACTCTCTAAGTACAGCAGTCCCAAGCTTGCTGTGTCAACTACCTTCTGCACAGACACCCTTCTCTCTTCTGCTGTGCTTTGATGAACTTGAAAGCTGCACAGGACAGATTGCCTAAGGGTGATATGGAAGCAGCCTGGCTCCCTGATTTGTATGAATTTGGTGGACAACCATCAAAGAAAGTTGCTCATTCCATGCTGGGCTTCTTGGTCATGGGAAGTAAGAACAGTTAAGCTGCAGAAATGTTAGGATTTGTTTTGTTTGGTTTTATATCTGTAGTATAGCAGTGCTTTTCTAATAGAGTCAGTTATCTAGAACGAATAAGACTTCTCATTACTTAATGATAGGAACTCAATCCAATAAAAATGACAATCCGTAAGTTAAATAGGTAATTCACAGACGAGGAAACATGAATTATCACTAACCATGTAAGTAAGTAGGTTTTCAACTTTTCTTAGAAGCTGAGTATTGAAAATGGAAATAATGAATTATGCCTTTAAACCAGACCTGAAAGTTTTCAAAGGAGTTATTGTCCTAAGTGTGAATAAAGATATGGAGCTAGTAGACATTGTCTTACATTCTGAAAAAAACTTATGGCGATATCAGAAACCCCCTTGCAAGATATATTCTGACAAAGAGCACTTAGAAGTAAATTATCAATTGAGACAACTGTGTGTATCTGCAGGTTTGGAACCCAAAGCTATGGAAGGCTGACAGATAAGGTTGTGAACAACCTTGGATTTGGGTATCTCGGGGGTCCTTGAACTCGTCCCTTGAGGGTACTAAGGAATGACTGTGTGTTTAAATTATTTGGATTTCTTTGGTTATGTTTAGGTTTTATCATGGAGATTTAAGCAGTCAATAATTATTTTTGCCATTTTGAAAACTGTCTTTTTTTTTCAACTCTTTAAAAATTGTGGTTAAAATACATATAATGTATAATTTGTCACTTTAACAAATTTGTAACGTACAATTCAGAAGCATTAACGTTCCTCTGAATTCACAATGTTGTGGGACCATCACCACTAACTATTCCAAAATGTTTTTCATCCTCTCAGAGAGAAACTCCATGGCTATTCTGCAATAATGCCTCATTTCCTTCCTTCCCAGCCCATAGGAACCTCGAATTTACCTTCTGTCTGCATGAATTTCCCTAATCCAAAGAGTTAATATATGTAAAATCATTCACTTTTTTCTTTCTATTTCTGGCTTTTTCATTTTTTTCATCGTGTTTTCCAGGCTTATCCAAGTTGTGGCAAATGGCCAGGGCTCATTCTTTGTTAGACTGTCATGCAATTTGTTGGGACTGAATAATATTCCATTGTGTATATACGCCATAGATTTGTATCCATTTGTCAGTCAATAGACACTTAGATACACTTAGGTTGTTTGCATACCCGTGCTATTGTAAATAATGCTGCAGTGGACGTGGAAGTGCAGATAGCTTCACGAGGTGATGATTTCATTTCTTTTATGCAGATACCAAAAAAAGTAATTGCGGGTGTGGGACACAATAACAGCAGAGACCTTATCTAATGAATGCGGACCTTGTAACCTAATCATTTATAGCATCACATTAATCTGAATTTATAAAAGAAGATTGCTTGGCTCTATAGTAGTTCTATTTTTAATTTCTTTAGCAACTTCCACACAGTTTTGATATGCACCAATCTATAGTCCCACCAACAGCATTCAAGGGTTCCCTTTTCTCCACACCTTCACTAACACTTATCTCTTACACTTTTGATAATAGCTGTTCAAGTGAATGTGAGGTGAAATCTCAAAGTGATTTTGATTTTCCTTTCTCATTAGTGATGTTGAGCATCATTTCATATAACTATTGGCCATTTTTACATTTTCATTGTAGAAATTTCTTTTTCTATATTTTAATTCAAATTATATGTTCTCTTGATACCATGTTGTATGGGATCTTTAGAAATTTTGGATATTAACCCCTTCGCAGATACATTATTTGTGAATGTTTTTGTCAATGCATAGGTTGATTTTTCATTTTGTTTCACGTTTTCTTTGCTATGCAGAAGTATTTCAGGTTGATGTAGCCCCAATTATTTATTTTTGTTTTGTAGCCAGAGCATTTTATGTGATAGCCAAGAAATCATTGCCAAGGTCAATATCAAGGAGGTTTTCCTTTATATCAAGTGTCATGAACTCAAAATTGATGAAGAATCTAAAGATGTAAAGCATCCTTTCATGTATTTATTTATCATTTGTGTATTTTATTAGGGGTAATGCCTTTTCTTGTCTGGTTGTTTTGTAGAGTTGTCTTTAGATTTTAGCAGTTTTACTAGGATGAGTCTGAATGAGGTTGAAGTCGAACTTCACTTAAGATATTTCTCATTAATAGTGTTTCCAGTGTATTCTGGAATATTTTTAATATATTTTAGAAGAGACAAAATGAGTAAATGTATGGGTATTGCTCAATATAAACTTATGGTTTTTAATGTTCTGTATTTCCTAACCCTAATCATGGAGGGGTCTAAGAGCCAATATAAAGTTGATTGGCTATTCATTTATTTCTTTGTGGTTGTGTTCCCAGTGACAATGGGCAGATCTCTTGCCTCAGACTTGATTTCAAATTTTTTCTCCAATAAAAGAAATGAAGTAGAAATGGTATATTTAGATCAGGGGCAGGGAAGGTCCTAAAAACATCTTTTGCAAGGAAAGAAGGTGTCAGAATGTTGAAGACAGGTTAAAAAAAATCCACAGGACCAGTTTCAAGAGGCTCCCTACTAGCCAAACATGGGAATTTAAGCATTAAAGAAGAAGAATGAGGATACTAGGATATAACAAGTGTTTCAAACCTAAATGGCTACAATGGAAATAAAAAGGTAGGTAAGAATCTCTTCATTATAGAAGAATGCTAGTTAATAAATTTAATTAGATTATTAACGTAACCATCAATGTGGTTTTAGACAAAGGTGATCAGTTGTACCAAAACCAACAGGGGAAAGTTTCTTGGTCATTAGGATGCATATATTGTCTCAAACTATCACTCTACTGATTGCTTATTATGTACAAAAGATAAATGACATCAGTTGGGCTCCTAGTGGACCCCAGCATAGGACAGCGGTCAGCAAGGGAGACAGCACTGGAACAACAACAAAACTTATACTAAGCTTAGTGCATAAAACTGGAAGCCTGTAAAGACATACCCTGGTTCATGTGCCTGGTGGCAGCATGAGAATATGCAGCACTTGTCCTGCTTCCCAGAATCTTTTTATTGGGTACATAATAGAGTACACATGCAAGAATACACAGTAGTAAGTAGTTAGCAGTCAAGGTTAAAAATGAGAGAGGGGAGATTATAACCTCCAGGTAGGTTGAGTAAAGGGTAAGTAGGGACATAGAGTAACGGAACATCTGAAGTGATCAGATAATGGTGCAAGCAGGAAAGGAAGGGGGAAAAGCAAGTCTCATCTCCTAAGGCAGATGTCTCAGCTTCTGTAGCCTCAGCTACTAGTTGATGCTCTCATCTGCCTGCACTGCTGATTTCCCCATGCAGAGATAGTCACCCAGACATTCCCCTGACTGAGCACCTTAGTCTGAGTTGGAAGGGCTGTGAGGAATTCAGCCTTTCCTCCTCCCACAAATATCCTCACAGTGGAAATCTGATGTCCATCATCTCAAATTGAGCATCACGAAAATGTATAAAGATGACATCGTTTGTTCTTGCAATGGGAAGTACACATCATCTATGCTGCATGTTTGCCAAAATAATTAACCTCTAATAATGTAGCTGTTCTGACTGTGGGTTTCAGTTTTATGTAGGTCATTTTATAGGTGATCTGGCTTGGGCTTTTTAAAAAACCAAGGTCGTGTAAAACATAAAATATCAAGTGGGTAAAGGAGGTGTCTATTTTAAAGTAAATAAAGAGATCTGAGACCAAAGGAATCTATGATCTTTCATAATGTCCTAGAGGTGAAAATATCGAAATGAAAGAACACACTGGGAGAACTAGATTAAATTGAATGTGAAGCATATTTATTAGAAAATAGTATTATAGGAATCTTAATTTTTGAGTGTAAAAAGAATTTATGGTTATGTGAGAGAATGGCCCTTTTTAAGGAGAGATAATGAATTAAGAATAAAATGTTACAGGTTTTGAATGTAAAATATACAGAAAAAGATAAAATGTTCATAATTGACACACACAGATGTACATTTTAATATTATGTTTTATTATTCCTTCAACTTTTCCTAGATGTCAGTTTTTAAAATAAAATTTGAAAAAAAATAAATAAAATTTGGAGAAAAAATATTAAGATTCCCAAAGCGTTTGCATGATTTCAGTCTAATAGTGGGTATTTTCATATTTATTTTCAAAATCTTTGAGATAGTCTATAATCACCATAAAACTCACAGGCAATATAAAATCTCTTCTAGTTCTACAGTGTCTCCTTTTTTTCTGTAGGAGACAGAATATGGTTGGACAATAATTTAAAAAAGAATATAAGTGAGTTTATAGTTTGGAGATAAAATAGATCAATATCTCTGATATAAGCACAAAACTTATCTAGCTAGCACTGCATGGCAAGAAGCCTTTTGGCAAATACATAGGATTTTTATCTGATTCAAGACATTTTGAATTTTCTACAAGTTGCTCAAAACTCACAAACTTTGGGAAGTTGAATTTAAACAGAAGAGTGGTGTTTGACCTGAATTGTGGCTGGACAATATGAATTTACATGATGGGAAGGGCCTCTAGGGTGAGATGGAGTTGGGAGGATTCCCTTGGTTTCCTCCCTAACAGGGTATAGTATTATCCCTGATTCTCCTGCAGATAGTGTGAAGTCACACCAGGGTCCCTGAACCATGAATGGAGGTCCTGAGCCTAGTGACTCTAAACTGTTGGTCACAAAGAGGCAGTGGGTCTGATGGAACCCAAATCTTTTGCACAGGACTTAGTGCTGTGGTCTGCAGATACTGTGAGTGGCCGGTAGAGTGTGAAATACTAAACAGAGACTCTTTTTCCTGCATTGATGTAATTAGGTCTGTTTAGCTGTGAAATCTGAACTGAGGAGGGAATTGTCTGGGCCTGCATTGAGGGGGCAGATGGAGGAGAAACAGCAGCCAGCCTGACACTCAGAAAAGCCACTGCCTCAGTGGAAATCCAGAGAAAATACTAGCAATATGCCTGTGCCCCTCACCGAACCCACTCTAGTTGTGCCCTAGACGATGTATGGGATGGTGTAAGGGCAGGTGGGAGGAAAGAGTAGATAATTACAGGTCTCGCCAGATAGGCTTGTCTCAAGTTACTGGCAGTAACAGCATAAATATCCTCAGTGAGATTTTCCAGAAGTCTGGCTTCTTTTCCCTGAGCAGCAAGATGCCCTCTTTCTGGCTTTGAATGCATTTCTTTAGTTTCCCAGTGGTGCTGTCCAGGAAGCACGTGGGTCATGGGGACACATGGAAAATTTCCCCTCTGGAGTTGACATCCTTCAATTTTAGATATTTCATCTACTTTCTGAAAAGTCCTGTCTCCAGCCTCCCAGCCTGAATGTTATAGTCCCCCAGAACCTTTAGCCCTGGTCACAGGGATGGAACAGGTAGGAAACACCTTGATGTGAAGAAAATTTCCATCACGTATCCGTAATTATTAACTGGTGCCAACATGAGTTGGGCTCAGACCAACAGATCTACTCAAATTATAGAGAATTTATAGGGAAAAAAGATGGCTCTGGTAATTCTTTACCTACAAGTCTTCTTCACCTGATAACTTTGACATGCGTCCCCTTGGCATTTGGGGAACTTAGCAGGATATCTCTGAATTCAGAGATACACCTTTCCCACTTCACTGAATACACATACCCTCGCTTTGTTCTCTGATACCAACTTTCAGTCTTCTCCAACCCCTTAAACTTTCCTCTTCTACCATGCAGACAATGAGAGGAAGTGTATTGCAACTGAAGTTGCCAGATTAAAAAAAAATTGCTGGATGCTAACACTGTGGTTCAAATATAAATTATACTGTCTATTATGTTTTAAAGATTCCAGAAGGTATGTTCAATTCTGAATAAATTATCATAATACAGTAATATTTTAAAGGATAAGAGAGTTCTCAATACTTCTCAAGTAAGATACATGTATCAGAACTTAACGTTCATTATACTGGTGGCCAAGAACTATAGGCAGCACCATTATGAAGGCATTGGTACAAAATGCATCATGAAGTTTGGGAATAGCAAATAAGAAACTGGTCATTGGCCTTCAGACAAAATTAAACCTTCCAACTCTGTGCTCAGTGTGTTTTTGTTCCCCGTTAGCTTTGAGGGTGTCAGCTACTTCAGTGTGTTTCTGGGATACAGCTGTGCCAGGCACCTCTGCTTCCACCTTGTGTAACTCATATTACAGGGAAGATAGAGAACCTGATAAAAAAGAAATGCCAAAGAGAATGATCATCAAAGATAAGAAAAAGAGGTCACTAGCTGATATCTCTATTTTGATTTGCCTTTAACACAGCCCCATAGAAACATCTAGCAGAGTTAGAGGCTGAACCTGAAGATGGAGTGAGAGATCCAATCACCCAAACTCTGGAGATAGGAGTGAAGACGCCTAGATGAATTTAGAGGCTCTGGATATGTTAAACCAACTTCTAGATCTCTGAGCTTATAACAATTGGTTTCAAAGACGGTGGGCATCTGTAGAGTCAGTGATGTCACCATAGGAACCTCCTCGTGGGGACAGGAACACCCCTTCTGTTCCTCTGCTCCTGCTCACAAGGACCCTGATCTGGTGGCCCTCCCATCTTTTCCAACCCTGCAATGAGCACCAGTCTCCTCATCTGGGCATCCCTATGTCTCATGGGGGCAGGTGAGTTCTCAAAACACTGGAATCTCCATGCTGGATCTCTCAGTGCTTATTCCAATTTCTTTTTTGCTATTTGAAAATTCTGTTTTGTCCCCCAACAGAACTCAAAGAATCTGGAGTTGTCCAGTCTCCCAGATACAAGATTGCAGAGAAAAGACAAGCCGTGGCCTTTTGGTGCAATCCTGTTTCTGGGCACAATACCCTTTACTGGTACCAGCAGACCCCGGGAAAGGGTCTGGAGCTTTTGATTCAATATCAGAATAAGGACCCAGTTGATGAGTCCCAACTGTTCAAGGATAGATTTTTTGCAGAGAGGTCCAAAGGAGTAGATTCAACGCTCAGGATCCAGCAGGCAGGGCTGGAGGACTCAGCCACGTACCTCTGTGCCAGCAGCAGCCACAGCATCACAGAGACGCCTCCTCCTGTGCACAGAACTGTGGGGTCTCCTCTCTCTAGTCAACTCACATGAGCCCTAAACAGAGGCCTCACCTCATCCAAGGGAAAGAAGTGGGTTTGCAGACACAGGCTGTGATTTATATAGTGGGAGGGAAGGGTTCTTTCTTGAAATCTGAGGGCCACAAGTGTTGTTTGCAAATTATTATGACTCGGGGATTTGAAGCTCATATCAACTCTAGAAACCAAAACTGAAAGTGACTTACCATAGACTTATCCTCAAGGATAGTGATAGTTTTTCTCCTATAAAAATATGGAGTCTCAAAGTATGTACAATAAACAATATAGATGGTGATTATATGTGAGGAACAAGCAGCAGCCCCCACTTGTCACTGTCCGAATGATTTGAATGTTGCTCTTGGTTCCTTCCCCACTCTCTAGCTCCGCCTATGCCCTGACACTGGATGTTTTATGCAACAAAGTCTCAGCACGGTGTGTGGGTGTTTGGAAATATTTTCCTCTGTTTTTAATGGAAATCTGTTAATAATGTGTTAGTGATGAATTGATTTGGAATTTTAATTTTCTTTGCATTTTAAAGATAAATTCTTAGTCTATGATTTGTTTGAGACTTAAATGAAATAGAGATGTTATAATTAAATGTTGGTTTCAGCTGAAGGAATTTTTAAACATTTAAGGGAGATTTACAATCCAATGGGACGTGTATTTGGTTTATGCATTTCATTATTGTAACATACTTATAAGGTTATTTGCTTTTATTGTACGACCTCTGCTGTTCCATTGGACCATGTGACAAGATGGGAAGTAAAGTACTTAAATGTGTTAGTATAGAATGGGCTTGGAATGAATGTAATTTCTGCCCTGCCATGACACATCTGTGCTATGTTTAATATGTATACCCGGGGAGCAAAGCTTGGAGTTGGGGAGTAACACTTACATGGCTATCATCTTTCTCCATTTAGACCTAATCTCCTGGGACAACACTTTGTTCAACATTCTCCATTTGGTGGGACTTCTCTACAGTAACACTCCTGTTTTAGTGCTCCTATTCTTTGCCAAGTCTTTTCTATGGAAGGGGGATTATGCTGTCTTATTGAGTCTCTTCATCTTAGTTTAGTCTCCATCTCTCACTTTCTTCCTGGCTACCCAGAGAAAAAAGAAGATTCTTTGCTGCTTTTTCAACATGTACTAACATCAGTGAAGAACTTTCTTTTCCACACAGATTTGGCTAAATTTCTCCTCCTGAAATTTGGAGGGGAGAGAGAATGGGTTAAATTCTTATTTAGCATAGTGTTAACCAGACTGTTTGGTTTTACACTGAGACTCATAGTTCATCAAAATTAAAAGCGTATGATCCAATATCCGTCTCTGAAGTGGTTCCACCTTAGCCCAGCTGTAACGACATTAATATTTTTTGTTGACCCTGCACACTTACAAATCATAATGTCCCATATCTCTTAGACTCAGTGAAAACAAAGCACAATTCTCCTATGTCCTGGGGCACATTTGTGCTGCTTCTCCCCACTGGCCAGTAGGAGGCACTGTGGCTTTGTTGTCCTCCTGAGTCTATGGGAAGAGGCTCAGAGGGCTCCTTCTCTCAGATGGCTGGTGGAAAGGGGCAGTTAAAGGAAACCTTGGGGTAGGAGCTAGATTCAGGGAGTTCGCTTGCAGATGTCCTGAATGATGTCTGGGGATAAAAGAATTAGAGATCAACCCTCTTCTCCATTATAGAGATGGGCTTTGCTCTAATCTGAACTTTGGATGGGACTTAGAATGGCAGGTGTCTTACAGTGGACATAGCTCTGATCTTAAGATGTAGGGGCACAAGGAGCTGGGGCGATTGTCTTGCATGTTCCGGTTGGGGAAAGGAGAGAAGCCTAAGAGTGCTTGAGTCTCCTTAACACTGCATCACTCTGACTCTTCTTCCTCCCTCTTCCACATTTTAGGTCCCTTTTGACTGAATTGGGGAAACTTGGAAAATCTAGTCTACTGTTCCTATATTAAAGTCAACTGATTAGAAACTGATAATTTGGAATATTAGTGTATTCCTTGTCACATAATTTGACACTTCCCTAGTTTCGGAGGATTAGACATGGACATCTCTAGGGCCATCATTCTGCCTCCCATACTTGCAACCTTGCTTGTTGAAGAACAAGTGATAATATTTTTGAAGACAGAATAATAACCACATTTTACAGTCTAGGTCCAGACTACAAAATAATGTTACTACAAAATAATAGAGCCCACAAGGGAAACAGGAATCTTAGGTAATACAAGCTAAGCCTACAAAAGATTTGTTCTTTAAAATCAACGTGTATCCTTGGATTCAGGGTTTCAGCAATATACCTCTGTGCTGCAGCAAAATATGGACTTCGACTCTCCATTCCATCTTAGCAGCAAAAAATTAACCAACTCAAGAAATAAAGGCTTCCCTCAGCTCTCCCTAACCCTATAACCTCCAACCTGAGAAGTGGGTTTGTGGGTTTGCTTTTATAGGGAAAAGGCCAAATGTTAATGATGAAAAACGTTGAGTTTTTCTAAATGCAAGAATAAGATGTAAATCCAGTCCAGATGCTTTTATCTATATTCTTTTCATGAAAAACCCAATCCTCTTACCCTCTTTGTTTCACTGTGTGGATAAAGAATGTGCGAGATTCAGTGCTTGTAGGCTTTAGACATTCAATACAGTTCAAGGATAAACTGAGATTTTTTTTCACCACAAAGATTTTTCGCATCTAATTGGTTCTCACAGCATCAGTTCAGCCTGTATTTTTGAGTGCTCAAGGCAATTCAGGCTATTGGAGTTCTGCCTATGGCCAAATCTCATGTACTGTTGTCTTATTTGTTGCCACTCAGAGGTCCTGAAATTCCAGCTGAAAATAGTTCAGAATGAAATTCAGTTTCTATTGCCTGTAGACAAAAGACATAATCTGCGCCTATGCAGACATGATTTCACTATGTTTCTTATTCCCCTGACTTCTCCCTGCTGCTTCCAGATCATTGTCCTTCCCCCTTCTTTAAAGCCCAGCTTCTTCACAAAGGTGGCATGGGAATGTCACCCTTCACTGTCACATTTATTTCTTTACTTTAGACTCCCTTCATGTTGAAGCCTTCCACCTGCTGCTAATCCAGGTGTCACCCTTAATGACTAATCTCCCACATAGACATTTATACATTGGTTTGGCTTCCCAGCTTTGCAAACTTCCTCTTCCCTGAGATGTTTTTCCTCTTGTTCTTTTTATACTCACCTCCATGATTGTAGACCATGAAGGCAGAACAAAGTCCTTTCGACATTTCTATTTCAATCCTCACGTCTTGCTACCACTGCCTCCCTTCTTTCCATCTCACTAACTCTGGGACAGTGGCTCCTACAATTCTGTTGCTCTGACCCCTCCAGTTCACATGGTCCACAACTTTTCAACTCTTATATTGTTAATTTTCACAGTGTAAGTCACATTTTAAGGTTTAAGACTATAGTGAACATATTACTGGAACAGTTTTGAATGACCATGTTTAGAGGATGAACAAAAAAGCCACATTGAAGGAGAAAACATTTTTCAAATTGTATATGAAAACACCACACTGTACCCCATGTTTGCATTAATGTACACAGCTATCATTTAATAATAAAAAAAATTTGCAAACCACATATGCAACCAAAGATTAATCTCAAGAGTATTTATCCAAGATTCACAGAACTGACCATCTAACCTATAGACTCATGAGCAATAACAAATCGCTGTTGTTTTAAACTGATGAAGTTTAAAGGAGGCTTGTTTTACAGCATTGCTGTGGGGGTGTTGACTGTTATGCCATGTGTTGCAAATATAGATTTTTAAAAATTGTCCTAATCACAATCCCATAGAGCATTGCTCTTTCCAAATTTGTTGCTTTTTAGGAAGAGCACTGCTTAAATCTGTTGTCTCTGTCTGCTCTATTTTCTATTTTGATTCACATGTAAACATGAGCACATATGCTTTCAAAATTCTAGTCTCTTAACAGTTCTGATTTCTAAAGATAACTTTTTATTGTTTTCAGTACTTTTTGTTGTTTCTTGAATTTCTTATATGAGGAGGTACTCAGTTTACCATCTTGAAATTGTAATTCTTCAAACATTTTTACAATGCTAGTGATTGGAGATATATCATATTAGGAGTTGAAGAGACCCGGGTCTCTGCAGTTGCTGCTTGAGGGTCAGGTCTTATGAACCATTTCTGGTGTCTGTGGGACACCTCCCAGTGTGGTCATTGGCTTTTACTGAAGATGATTCACCAACTGTTGGTCATTCTTAGACATCTAAGTACTAAATTCAACAGTGTCCTTTTCTCAAATATGTAACATGATGGCATAATTGCTTCACATATGGACATGAATGGACATGTCCTTCCAATCTGCCCAGTAGATTATTCTAATTAAGTATTAATAACCTCCAACTTATTTCTTTGGGTTTAGTAACAGAACTATCACTATCTTCACCCCTCAGTTCAGATACAGAATGTGTATTTTGGATGAAGCAGCTGTATGCTTCTGAGTTCTCCATGACATTCTAAGTTACACAATGACAGATACTCTTATCTGGATATTTTTAAAAATCCTGGATGGTTACATTTCCTCATTCACTGGGAAGAGAATAAAAAATATCCAGGGTTAAGTGTGATATTGAGTCTTCCAGACAGTGAGAAGATGCCCAGTGAAACAGCCTCATCAGATGGCTTATTATGGGAGAATTCACATTTCCAAGACTCTTCTTGAAGTCAAAGAAAGTGAGCTATCAGCCACAGTGAGCTCCGAGACAGCAATAATCTGTAATATGAAATGGTAAGCAGTACAGGCCAGGCTCCCTCTGTGGAAGAAAAAGTAATGAGGAGGACTGTCAAGGAGAATGAAATTAGATCGTGTGTACACAAAGCAGCAAAATCAGTCAACATAATTATTGCAAAAGCTTGGAGGATAATTAGAAGAACATCTGTGCTTGGAAGACTTTTTGCAGGGAATTTGAATTTGCTAACAAAATGTATGAGGCACCACAGTAGTTCGAAGTTAAGTTTCTTTCTTACC